CGCTCTCTTTGGATTTCTTTGTAGAGTTAGGGTTCGTGGAGGCTAGATCTCCATTGGAGACTACGTGGTTTTCATGTGGCAGAGTTTCTACGGTCATGGTTTTCGTGTGAATTAGAAAAAAATAATCGATTAATTTTAATGGCGATTTTTATCAGAAAAAGGAGTGTTTACGGGAATCTGGCTTCAGGATGATGGCGAAGGCGTTTAAATAGGGCCCGTTATCTTATATATGGGCCTGGATGCTTGGTAATTGGGCTCTTGGTTCGAGCCTCGAGCCTGTTAATGCATGCCAACATTTCGGCGGGAAGAATACGGTTTGGGACGCGGCCCACACCCCAAACGACATTTCTCAAAAATTTTATTTTTTAAATTAATATTTTTATATTTTTAAATTGTTTATATATTGTAATAAAAAATAATTTTAAAAAAATAAATATTATTTTAATTTTTTTAAATAATTTTAAAAAAAACACTATTATATTTTTAAATATTATTATAATCCAGTATTAATTCTGGTAGTTAAACATTATATTTGACTATGAAAGTATGTTACTATTTTGTTTTTTTAAGATTTATTAACTTTCATGTTACTATTTTGTTTTTTTAAGATTTATTTTATAATTATATATATTATTTTTTAAAATATTTTTTATAACAGGTGATTTTATTAAATTATTTTAAAATTTATTACATGGGAATAATAAAGAATAAGACGTGAATTTACTTAAAGTATATTTAAAATTTTCAAGAAAACAACAAAACTCCGTATAAAACTCTCCTAACTTATAAACACAACCAAATAGGGAAAAAAATAAACACACTAATTCAATCCAACCATTTGAAAATTGAGTGCGTGTAATAATTCCCAATTTTGATAGGAATGCACTCACTCCTCTAGAAATTTAATAATCTACACCCATGAATTAAATATTCTCATATTAAATTTAGCCTTGATCTTATAAATTAATTTTATAATTCATTAATTCAAAACTTAATATAAGTTGAGTTTTATTCTAAATTATTTTAAATATTAATCCAATAAAATATAAATAACTTAATAAATTATCTTAAAATTTAATTAACTCGATTAGATCCGAATGAAACTTTACAAAGTAAACTCTAATTATCTTTTTTAAATTTTTATTAAGATGAATTGTTTCATTTAAAAAAAATTATGTAAAATGATATTATTTTTTACCCATATTTAAATCAATCAGGTTAACTTGATATTAACTTATTGAATATTGAATAGAGACCACAATTTAATAATAATATTCATTCTACACTTGCCCACTTACCCGCATTTTAGCTAGATTATGGTGAACATTTTTATATTATTAAAAGCTCGTTTAATTTTGTAGTAGTGATTGCTTTTCAAAGTAATTTTTATATGAAAATATAAAAGCTTGTTTATTAAAAGCACTAATGCATGTTGTATAATTTTATCTTTATATATTGATGACTTGATTATTACTAGTGATGACATTGATAGTATCTTAGTTTGAAGATAAAGCTGGCTAAACAGTTTGAAATGAAGGATTTGGTTTTTCTTCGATATTTCCTCGGTATTAAGATAGTTTACTCACCTAGAGGTTATCTTTTTTCTCAATCGAAGTATGTTGCAGATATTCTTGAGTGAGTTAAACTTACTAATAACAAAACTGTAAACACTTCTATTAAAGTTAATGCATGATATTTTTATTTTGATAGTTTGTTTTTTACAAATCCTACTTTATATTATACTATTATTAGGAGTTTAGTATATCTCATCATTACTCGTCCAAATATTACATATGTTATTCATGTTATTAGTTAGTGTATTGTTTCTCCTGCTATTGTTCACTAAGTAGTTGTTCTTTGTATTTTATGATATCTTCACAATATAGTCTTTCAGAATTTTTTATTTTCATCCACCTTTTTTCTTGAAACTGTGTGTATATTCTGATATTAATCATAGCAACGATCCCACAAATTGCAAATCGGTTACTAGTTTTTGTATTTGTTTTAGATGATACTCTTATTTCTTGAAAGAGTAAGAAATAATCTATTGTTTCTCAATCTTCAACTAAAAGAAACCACTGTATTGTGATATCTACTATTAATGAGATTATTTTATTATGTTGGTTACTTGCTATATGAGAGTTTCACTTTCTTATCCTACTCCTATGTATTATGACAACTAGAGTTCTATTTAGATTATTCATAAGTCAGTTTTTCATGAACAAACTAATTACATTGAGATTAATTGTCATCTTACTCATCATCATCTTAAACATGATACCATTACTTTGACTTTTGTTTCTTCTTTCTTGCAAATTGTAGATTTCTTTATCAAGTTATATTTTATTTCTCGTTTTTGTTTTCTAGTTGGTAAATTTTTGATATTTGTAGTTACCATATCATAAGTTTGAGGGGAGTTATTAAATAATATTTTAGTTGGCAAATTTTTTATATTTGTAGTTACCATATCGTAAGTTTGAGGGGAGTTATTAAATAATATATTTATTTTATTTTATTTGTTAAGGATAAAATAATATTTTTAATTTAAGTTCTTTGTATTTAAATTAAAGGAAGAACTTTTAAGACAAATTAATTGGGGAGAATTCTAACCTTCTTTAACTTTTCGTTTTTATTTTTATATTAATTGAATTGTTTTAACAAAGAATTGCATTATGGTCTTAGTCTAGAATCAAGCAAGGGAAACGTAATTACATATTCAAATCCCTTAGAATTAAGAAGAGCCTACTAAATCTATTGATTCTGCATCTGCTAATTATGCCAAGGAATTTGACGGCATCTGTCAATTATGCCAAGCAATCTGCCAGAATCTGCTAATTATCCCAAGTGATTTGCAATTGCGACTGTGCTTCTACTAAGAAATCTGCTCTCGCCAGTATTTGTATTCAACAGACAAAGGAGTGCATACATGGACATTGGTGTAAATTTGATGGCGTTACTGCTAGGTTCTCCAGCAGTTTCTCTTCTTTTTCCTCCCATGGGGTGTGCAAGTTCTCTTATGTAATTGTTGTGTATGCGAAAATGGTAAATGTACGTTTTATCTAGTGAAAGTGTGAAACTAGCAAGAACAATATCCAATTACTCTATTATTTTGATCCTTTTGTTTGTTATTAAAATAATAAGAATAATGCATGATTGAAAATGCTCGAAAGTGAAAGGTCATAAAAGCCACATGCAGCTAGCGAACACGATGGAAAACATCAAGACGGTCCATCAATTTTTACATAAATGTCCGTCATTCATGTTGATCCAAACATGAGCTACGTCCAATCTAACCCTACACGCAGACATGGTTAAGACATGAAGCTTCATCTTTGCTAATTCATGGTGAAGTTCACAGGAGCCATGTTAAAGGGTGAAAACAGAAATAATACAAAATATGTGGGCACAGCATGGGCCGAATTCTGTACAGGTTACTATAGCCATGCGCACCCAATATTGAACTGTCAGACCGACTAACAACCGAGAGGGGGTTCCATGCGAGATCTGCAATTAATCCATCAAGACTTTGACAATCACATAAAGTCTATCGCCTAGCATGTTCATCCTAATTTTAGATAGTGTCCTTGACTTCAATTGACAAGGTTGTTATTTAAACATCCTTTCACAGTTCATACTCAATACCTTCTTTTGTTTTTCTCCAAGAAAAGAAAGATTCCATTGGAATTAAGGGAAGCAGCATGATCATCAGTGGACACAGCCAAAACCCTGTGTGAATTAAGCACTTGCAGTCATATTGAAAAGATCAAGTTCGTAAGGGTAACAATCAGCAAGCAGCTTGGGTGTCACTAATAAGCTCCTATTTGATAGATAGATCACCTAAGTTTCATGTGCAGAAACCATCAAATTTGCATGAACTTGATTGTCCACGATGCAAGAACCCCATGATTATAAACAGAAAAAGAAAAACTAAAATTGATCATGCCATGTAACTATATTCTGGTGAAACATATGTTTGGCTCTATCATGTCATGGAATGTCCAGGACTGGATCTACTTAGCTGAGAATATAGTGAAAATTATGGTCTCTTGTCATCAAATTAGTGATTTACAATTCCCTTACTAAATGGGATTTGAAAGTTTGAAGTTCAAGATAATTGTTTAGTCAGCAGCAGCTGTGGTAAATGGTTTTTCAGGGAAAAGTAGAGCAAAAAAAAAAAAATTTCAATGACATAGCATATGTCCCAGGATGCCATTGTAAATCTACCTCAAATATGCAAAGTCTAAAGCATATGGATCGGTGATAATCAAACAAAAATAAATAGGTGATGTGCATGAGAGTCTAGAAAGTAGGTGCCCGTATTAATAGAGGCTGAAAAATCACTTTCAAAACTTATTTTAATAGGCATGGTCTTCGACCTGATTACATATTCACAACTTGTGCTGACAAATCAGAGTTACCTTCGAAGACTCAACCTTGCTTAATACTGAATGTCCAAATGGTGTTATTTTTTATGCTGTGCAAGAATATGCAGCAAATTACATAGCTCTTAATGGATAATTTTTTCTCAAAGAAATAGTATGAGGTTCAAGATAATTGTTTAGTCAGCAGCTGTGGTAAATGGTTTATCGGGGAAAAGTAGAACAAAAAAAATAAATTTTCAATGGCATAGCATATGTCCCAGAATGCTATTGTAAATCTACCTCAAATATGCAAAGTCTAAAGCATATGGATCGGTGATAATCAAACAAAAATAAATAGGTGATGTGCATGAGAGTCTAGAAAGTAGGTGCCCGTATTAATAGAGGCTGAAAAATCACTTTCAAAACTTATTTTAATAGGCATGGTCTTCGACCTGATTACATATTCACAACTTCTGCTGACAAATCAGAGTTACCTTCGAAGACTCAACCTTGCTTAATACTGAATGTCCAAATGGTGTTATTTTTTATGCTGTGCAAGAATATGCAGCAAATTACATAGCTCTTAATGGATAATTTTTTCTCAAAGAAATAGTGGAGTGATTGGATCGGTCCATTATGTACCAGGTCAACAAACCAAAACTATTTATTAAAGAAGAAAATAACATTAATGAAGCTATTTCTGCACCTTATCATAAATGCAAGGCGGCTGAAAATCGCAGTAGATACAGAAGGTTCTTATTAGGTTCCATTTTCATATCTTGCAACAAGATACACATCAAATAAATAATAAGAAAAAACCCGTTGGGTTCTTTCTTCAAACTTCATCAACACTGTAATGGTGGAATGGATTGAGTTAGTCCAGAACCACAGCAAGAAAGAAATCTTCAACACTTCAACTTTCATCATTTTTTTCTATGATAATTTACAAACTCGAGCTGGAAGAATTGCAGAATACACAACAATCCAACATTATATAATTGATTATGCTTCCACTTTCCACTTTAATCTCCCTGCTCTGCTTGTTCCATAAGTGAACTGCAAAACTTTCACTTTTAATCTGCTCGAGTTTTTTATGCAACCATGTAGAGTGGACCTTATCTCTAGGCCCTCTAAAGAAACTTCTAATTCGACTCCAATCCACCGGATAAAATGCAGGAGGAGGCAGTACGGTGAAGTTAAACTCAGGCCTTCCATTGACTCTCGAAACAACTCTTGAAACCAGATAAGGACCATTGTGACCCCACTTGCTTCCATCAAATGTGAGTGCAAATTCTTCGATGAATTTGAAGAGTAATGGATGCTTCTTATCAAAAATCAACACAGCATTATTCAACCTGCTCCAATTCCTAGTTTCAAGATCAATAGTTTGTGCCCCTATAACATTTCTCAATCTGGTAAATCTCTTCAACACTATCACATCAGTGTCCATATAAATACCACCAAACTTGTACAACAAAGCAAGCCTAAGCAAATTAGACATGTTTTGACCCAAAGAAACTTCTCCTGGGCTAACATTCCCTTTCTTCAACCCTTTAAACCATTTCTCAGCATGAGTATCCTTGAATAAATAATCAAAATCAGGCTTAATAGCAATCAGTTTAAATCGTTTATCCAAAAATGGCTTTAAAACAAGACTCCCACTTTCAGAATCCATGGAATTAGAAACAATAACCAAACAAGCATCTGGATGAGACCTGAACAAACTCTCAACAGCAAAAAACTCTCTATCACCAAACGACTTCAAAGAAGAAATCCAAGTCATAAAGAACCTAACCTTACATCCATGATTCCCAAAGAATTCTCTTACTCTTGTTGAGAACCGCTTTAAATTGTCGGCAGACCTCAGCATCCTCTTCACATTCCTCATGAAAACCGTATAAAGAAACATAGTAAATAGTACGAGATTTTGATTTCAAAGGATTTGTTTTTTATTTTATTTTAGGCAATAATATTCAAAGAATTAATTGAAGTGTGATGAATTGAATATAACCAGTGGGTTTGTATTAAGATTTTAGTTTAATATTTTTAAGTACTTAAAGAAATACATTATAAAAAACGATGTCTTACAATACATAATATGCTTCGCTTTGAATTTATTTAAGTACATTTTACATAATATAACTTTGCTTAAAGAACTCAATGAATCTCACTCAATCTCAACTTGTAACTTCTTGATTTTAGATCTATTTGTATTCTCTTAATTTTGCAATTTTTCACTAAAAAAATTGAGTTTTTTTTTTTGAAGAATTTAATGAATCTCACTCAATTTCAATAATATATATTTTTTATTTCTTAAATTTATTTTTAACATAAACATACTAAAATAATTTAAAAATATAAAAAATAATAATTTAAAAAATCAATTTTTTACAAAAAAAAATTTCAAGTTATAATCTAATTGGATATTTTTATTTTTACGACTCAAAAATGCTTTTGAAAAAAAATAAGTTTTTATTAAGTTTTGAAAAAATAATTTTTAAAAAATAAAAAATACATATTATTTGAATTTATTTATAATAAAAAACAACTTTTAAAAACAACTAATATTGTACTCTTGAATCCTCCCTGAAAATAATTAGCGTAAGGTCCATGTCATCTAATTATAGTTTGACCAAAAAGTTGGACTAACAGCTAAGGGCGCGCACTCTTTACTTTCAGCATAATTTTAAGCGCCCTCAACGTTGACTAGGTGATTTGAAATAGAACAAATTCTTCTGTACAATGAACTCGAGGTTTGTGCTCAAAACGTTGAGGGAAGATGTGTTAAACCTCTTTGACCACCAAGTATTATGTCCCTTAGAGTTGCACCTATGGTATATACAAACACTCATGATAAAGATAAAGGTAAATTTCGATTTTCCTCTAGGGTTTGCGAAGTATCTCAATTTCACCTTAAAACTTCATTTTGTGTCAATTAATCCTTACCAAGACTGAGAAAATTGTTAATTTCTATTTAAATTTACTATGAAAAACAAAATAAAAGTTAAATAGCGATTAATAATGGTGGAATATGGAAAAAATATCTCCTTTGAAAATCAAAAAAGTTTAATCCTCAACAAATCAAATGTTAAAAGATAAAATTAATAACATAAAAGAATCTAAAAATTAATAATTAAATAAATAAAATAAAAATTGAGAAAAATTCTTTGATCTAAGAGTTTAATTGAAAATATTTTTTAATAAAAAAAAGTGAGGAAAAAATTATAACATTGATTGAGTTGAATAATTTGATTTTATTTTAATAAGATGATGAAAAAAATTAACAATAATGGTAAATATTAAAAAAAAAACCTTAGAAAATATGTGATTGAATAAAAAATAAAAAAAAATTCTGTTTGAATAAATCTAAAGTTTTGTGGTAACATATAGTTGAATAATAAATAAAAAATCAACTTGAATTAATTTTTAAAACCTAGTAAAGACTAGGATAATCTAACAAATTGCTTATTCATAACCCTACCCATTGGTTTCATCCTGCGACTTAGGTGATTTAAGGCCTAAATCAGGTTACATTCAAATAATAATAGGACTGCTGAATTGGTATAATTTGATAGATTGTCTCACAACCTGATGAGCCATGAAAAAACTTATTCAAAATCTTTTATTTTTTTTTATTTTATATATAAAATAATGTTATTTCTACATGTTTATAAAAAATACAAGTTGTCATAAGTCAATTAACTTAATTAGGATAAATTCACTTAACCCTTAACCTAAGATTTATCCCAACTCAACTTTGAATTGTGTTTCAAACCTATTCCATTTTATATTTTAAAAGTATAATAATAGAATTTAACTAAAATATTTATAAAAACAATGCAATGAACAATTTCCAAACAACTTTTTTTTTCCCACGACACAGTGCACACAACAATAGCTAACAAGCGAAAAATACACCTCATTTATTATATTTGAGAGCATCAAAGCTCAAATAAAATAAAAAATATATAAAAACTGAAACAAGAATTTTGATCATGTATAGATATCACATTTATAATTATGTTTTTAATTAAAAAAACTGAAACATTTCAATGAGTTCTTTGAACTTTTTCCTTGCTCATAATTATATATATATATATATATATATATATATATATATGTATGTATGTATGTATGTATGTATGGATTCCATGAATCTCTTTTGACACATAACAATGAGAGAATAGGTCGAACCATCGAGTTTCATTGACGGGAAAATCAAGACCGCGATCAAATATATTTAAAACCTCTTTTCAATGAGAGATCCAAAAACTTTGTTACTTGCAACCCTATTATAATTGTAAATTCATTTTACAATCCATGATGGATACTTGAACAAACTTCAGTGATTGATAGCAAGAAACCAAAATATAAAAAAAGTCATGAATTTTAGATCATATAAATCCAAATTTATTTTTATTTACATAACGTCACCCAACTCGTATTTCTAAAAATATAAATTTTTTTGTTTAAAATTAACTTTTTTATAATACTTTTAAATTATTTAAATATGTTAATATCAAAAATAATTTTTTAAAAAATAAAAATACATTTCTATATTAAAAATAATTTAAATTACAATTACTATCATAATATTAATCAGGCCGTTAGACTCTTAAACTCTGAATTGAAGATTATTAAAAATAAATAAATTATTAAAAAAGTAAGGAGAGAAAGAGGAATTCCCGTGATGTAATTTTCACCGATAATTGTCCAAAAGGATTTTTATTTTATTTTATTTTGGGGCATACACGAAACAATCTTGATTTCTCAATTGGGATTTTTGTTTTATTAGAATTCATAAATAGAAAATTTTAATTTCCCAGCAAAATGAATTTTTCATTGTTAAGTTTAACACACACACATATATAGACATGAAAGTAATTGTTGTCATTATGCTGGCAAGTGACGCTGCCGGCAGAAATTGAACTTAGCAATGAAATCTTGATTTTTATTAAAAAAAACCTTAGTTTGCAATATAAGTATTTAGTGGGAAATGAAATCTTGTATTATAATACAAGGATTTTGTTTGTTAATTAATTAAGTTTTCTTTAACCTTCTCTCCTTCTCCCTCTCTCTTTTCACACGCACACCCTTTCTTTAACCTTGAGTTAAATCTACTCCCCGAGACGACAGTTCTATGCATTATATGAAAATGTCTTATAAATATTTGAAGAATAATGTACCTTTGATGACTGTTAAGTACCTCCAAATTGGTATTCTTGAGGGGTAAATCTTACCCTCCATCAAATAAAAATTATTTCTTTTCTCTCTCCCATTTTTTCACCAAAATACGCATGGAATTTATTTTTATTTATCTCGTACTAATAGTTTTTTAATAATTTAATAATTCTTTTCTTCCTTTCCACCAACATGAATCAATCCAATACTATATAATCCATCTCTATTTTTTATTTTAAACCTATAATCAAACACCACCTTCGCAGAACCTTGTCATTAGAGCTTAGAACTGGTTATGGGTCGGCAATGGAGCTTCTGGCTTCGGACTTCCGACATAAGATATTGAAGGCCCGATGAATAAAAGATGTCAAGCTCGGTCCAAGGAACTGCAAATTAGACAACGGAAAAAAAAAACCCAGCTTTTCTCACAAGTACAATGGCCCTTCCCAGCTATGGCTGGGCTTGACAATGTAAAATATTGGCCGCACACAGCCATGGTTGCTGGGTTATCTAGACGGTGCTAGATTCGATGCTTGGGCTTGAAGTATGTTAAGCCTATAAGCATCTTGAATATGGCATTTACAGAGTGAGCCCAACTAACATGTCGAGCCTAAAGATTTTTGTTATTCGGCATGCACAAATTTATTACACCTAATTTTATAAATTCTTATATAAAATAATAAATGAATTATTTTTTAATAAATATATTTAATTAAATAAATATATACTACTTCAACATCATTAGATATATTGAAGCCTATCATATCCTTTTTGTCTTCATTTTTTAACTGAATAACATAAATGAAATACAATTTAAAATATTACAAAGATAAAAATATACTTTAATTCCTTTTATTTATAAAAATATAAAACTCATGAATTATAAATGTATCTTAAGATATTCAGAAAAAAATTCATAATTTTTATTTTCTATTACATATTTTCAGAATGTTTTTTTAAATAAATATTTATTTTCAAGGTATTTTTCTATAAAATATTTTTCATAATATATAATCAATGTTCACCAAGTCTAAGATGGGAGAAAATCAAATCGTTTCCGAAGACACTCCTATCCAACAGTAATTTTAACAACTTGTTAGTTAGTGTAGTTAAGTGTAATTCTTCATTCAGGTCGTGTTGACAACCAAGAGATGAGAGAGAGAGCGTATGACAGGGCCAAGGAAAATGTTTAGTTCAGTATTCATGATGGTGATCGCATGGAGGATCCGCATATCACGACAGACAGACCGTGAGTTCTCTCCAGTATGCTTATCTCAAACGCGCTGACTTAGCTTTCTTTGTCAATAAGTCATGTCAAATCATGGCTCTCCTACAGCACTCTGGCAGGCTTGCGAATCTGTACACCAGTATATCACGACAGTACCTTGCACGAAGGTCTCATCTTCACTCCCTAGTCCACAGTGAGACCTGAGGCCTATAGTGACGCAGATGACCGCGCTCCACTGGTGAATATGGAGTTTACTTGGGCAGAAATACTGCTTCTTGGCCAGCAAAGAAGCAACCTACTGCTGCTCGTTCAACTACAGAAGCAGAACATAGAGCAGTTGCTAATGTTATTGCTGTGCTAATTTGGATTCGTTCGTTACTTCAAGAATTGGGATAACATGTCAGTCAACCAGCCATCATCTGATGTGACAATGCTGAAACCTCATAAACATACGGAATACAGACA